AAATCCATGCACATCTCAAATAGGCAATTTGGTCAGTGGATTATGACGTAGTCATGGGACAACTCTCCCTTTTATTACTGAAATATATTTAATTATCTTTTTATTTTAAGTGCCTTCTCCCTTTGAGAACTACTCAAAATATATTATGGATAGCACAATATTACAGGTCCTCTACATAGAGAAGCCCCTCCTGAATCATACATTTTGAAGAAAAAAAATTAAATAATCATTTTGGGTCTTGAAATAAATGGGAAAGTAGTCCTGCAGCTCATCATAGTGACATTACCGATTCAGCCAATTTAAAATGCCCATAGGTTTAGTGATCACAGCTTTCAACAATCCATAACCACCTTATTTTCTGTCAGATTTTATTTGGTATTTTTTTAAATTATAGTTGTCTGTTAAGGTTGGATTTCCCTTTAAAAAGTGTAAAGGGTAAGCCCTATGTAACATAATGTGTTGAGGCAATTTTCGTTATAAAATCAAAGCAAAGTGCCCCGGAACAAATTATTCCGTTCACCCGTTAAGAATAATTGGATTTCGATAGTCAGAATGCGAAATGCAAACATGTGTTGTTAGGTAGGGCAAGTCATAATGTTTCTGGTACCTAGTACTACCAACACATAATGTATTCAATTTGCATTCTGACTATTTAAATACATTTATTCGTAAAAGGTGAATTTAATAATTGGTAATGAGGCACTTAACGAGGACCTATTCATTAAATTTGATTACAATACGAAAATGACCTACATGTATTCATATGGATAGGAAATCTTTGAACTGTTATATGTCGTTTTCTGAGGGTTCATAATTTTATATGTTCTAAAGGGTTCATAATTCTACAAATGAAGTAGGGTTCTTAATTCTGAAAATGAACTAGGATTCGTAATTCCAAAAATGGAATATGGTTCATAATTCAGAAAATTAAATAGGGCTCAATATACTTCCAAAAGTTTATTATTCTTAAAATGCAAATAGAACCCCTTTATCCTTTTAGGAATTACGAACCGTCAATATAATGAATCCTATTTCATATTCAAAATAATACCATTTTATTTGCGGAAATATTAACCCTATTTCAATATCGTTATTAACGCCCCTTTTTCAATTCCAGAATTACGCACCCTATTTATTTTTCGTAATTATGAAATCTATTTCATTTCTAAATTCAAACCTTTTAAAATATGGACCATATTTCATTTGTTTATCAAATGTCAGGAGGAAATTGAAATTTGTCATAATACACTGTACTATCAAGTTACATTTATTGATGAATAGCACACTCTTTAGTTACCATAATATCACATCACTTGTCAAAATAATAAGGCCATAAATGATTTTGTTTTGCTTGTGAATGTAGTAGGATTATAGTATGTAGTACACAATATTTCATTTCCAATCGCTGCAACTTAATATCAATCCTTTACATGTACTTTGACAATTTACAGGTAAAAATCATGCTTTGCGTTATCATTTGTGAATTATTCTCCAAATTTAAATGCATAAATAAAGTACTTAAATTTGTGCAAATGAACTTATTCTCTATGGTGGAAAATTACAAATGAAATTTCTCAGCAAAAATGCATGCTCATTGTTTCTACTCATGATGGCTACCATAAGAAAACTATTGCAAATTGCAAATTGCCAAACCTACTCTTTTAAACATCTACTCCAAATTTTCAAGATTGATTTCTCTTTGTTAAAGCTGGCCTTAACTTTTAGACAATAATTAGCCAATTTAACACTGTTTTGGGGGGTCTTCTTTTTTATCGTTGAAATGTGTAAAAAAAAAAAAAAAAAAAAAAAAAAAATCCTTTTTCATTTAAGCTGTTAACCTTGTTTTTAAACGTTCATGTAATTGTAATCACTATATGATGTATGATATTCTGACAGATAATAAAATGATACACTGTTAAGTGTTAAATATGATAAAGATGAACCAACATGATTGTGATGTCTTTTGTTAACAGATGTTTGCGAGAGAAGTGGCTGAACCTCAAGAAAATGGTTAATTGTGTTGGAAGCAAACTTCATGCCAGCTCCTGTCATTTTCGTGTCTACTCTGCAGACCAGCATGCTCTTTTAAAGTAAAAAAAACAAAACAAGGACTGGCAGATTTTGTGAGGAGTACTGTGTTGGAAGTGCATTGATGTAGTAGAATTTCAACTGATCAAAACAAATTGTTTTCTACCTGTCTCCTAATGGTTCCAGTTGGGGTTTTCTACTGGTATCCTAATGGTTCCAGTTGGGATTCCTACTGGTCTCCTAATGGTTCCAGTTGGGATTCCTACTGGTCTTCTAATGGTTCCATTAGGGTTTTCTACTGGTATCCTAATGGTTCCAGTTGGGATTCCTACTGGTCTCCTAATGGTTCCAGTTGGGATTCCTACTGGTCTTCTAATGGTTCCATTAGGGTTTTCTACTGGTATCCTAACGGTTCCAGTTGGGATTCCTACTGGTCTCCTAATGGTTCCAGTTGGGATTCATACTGGTCTCCTAATGGTTCCAGCTGGGATTCCTACTGGTCTTCTAATGGTTCCATTAGGGTTTTCTACTGGTATCCTAACGGTTCCAGTTGGGATTCCTACTGGTCTCCTAATGGTTCCAGTTGGGATTCCTACTGGTCTTCTAATGGTTCCATTAGGGTTTTCTACTGGTATCCTAATGGTTTCTGTATGGATTCCTACTGGTCTCCTAATGGTTCCAGGACTTCTTTTTTTTACTGGTCTAATGGTTCCAGGACTTCTTTTTTACTGGTCTAATGGTTCCAGCACTTCTTTTCTACTGGTCTCCTAATGGTTTTTGTATCAATTCCTACTGGTCTCCTACTGGTTCCAGTGGGGATTTGTACTTGTTTCCTACTGGTCTTCTAATGGTTCCAGTTGGAATTCCTACTGGTCTCCTAATGGTTCCATTAGGGTTTTCTAATGGTCTTCTACTGGTCTTCTGCTGGTTCCAGTACGATTTTTTTCTACTGGTTTTTAATGGAAAAGCGCCACTTTCCATATTGAAACCAGTAGAGAATTGACCTGTAGAAACCATTAGAAATCTGTACTGGTTTTCTCTACTGGTTTCTATGGGATTTTCGACCTGGGTAAGGATTCCCACAAGTAATTCTACCTCTGTTTGAAAGATTAAATCACTAATGTGACTTCCGTGAAACTGTGAAATAGAAGTCCCACACACAGAATACTATGTTTGTTTAAAGTACTAAAAATGGGGAAAGGACCTTTAGCCCGGCCGCGCATATTTTTTTTACACAACTGTTTAGCCATTTTCGCGAAAAACTTCCAAGAAGTGCTCTGGTGAAAGAGTCTAAGTCGTCAGCGCACATATAAATTATGTGCAAGCACATACACCCAAGGAAGGGAAGATGATAGAAAGGGGGAAACTGACAAGGATAGTTGAGAGGATAGGGAGAAGGAAAAACAAGGAAACACATAAGGAAAGAGAAGAGGATAAGTCAAAGGACTGATCGAGAACATAGAAATGCATAATTGAAGAGCTAAGTTAGATCTATATACTAAGGAAAAGCAGGGAAATTCAAAAAGAAGGTCGAGAAAGGGAAACTATATCAGATTAAAACAAAGAAATAGATGACGAAGGAGAAAAGGATAGATTGAAGGAGAAACAAAGAAATACATAAAACAAAAGAGAAGAGGTTAAAATGAAGGAGAACAAAAGAAATACATAAAGGCGAAGGAGAACTGGGGGATATATTGAAGGAAAAACAACGGAAATATATGACGAAGGAGAAAAAGGATAGATTGAAGAAAAAAAAGAAATTACAAAAGAGATGAGGATAGGTTGAAGGAGAACACAGAAATACATAATGAAAGAGAAGAGAGGATAGATTTAACCCGAAACAAATAACGAGTATGTACACATGTACAGGGTACAGCTCCAGCTAGCAATCCAACAAAACTGCCAAGGATAATGCTAGACTCTGTCTCTAGTCGTTTGCACAGTGTATTTGACTGAAGTGGCTAAACAGTTGTGTAAAAAAAATATGCGCAGCCCGGCCCCCCCACTCAGTGTTATTTAGGGTACGCATATGCGTGTTCCAACCGACCCCCCCTTTTCAGCAAAAGTCCGGTGTGTAAAGTCAATACGGCTCGACCTTTTTCTTTTGTATACGAGCCTTTTTCCGCACCCCCCCCCCCCCCTTTTCAGCAAAAGTCCGGTGTGTAAAGTCAATACGGCTCGACCTTTTTCTTTTGTTACGAAAAGGACATTTTGGCAACACGCATGCGGTCATTTTGAAACCTGAGTGGAGGGGCCGGGACCTTTAGGCTAAATCGCTACAATAGGAAGTGCACTCATATACAAAACATTTTACGGAAGCAGCATATTTTTTCTTCTTATATATGTACATCCTATACACAATCAGAATAATCCTGATGTGATATTTAATTAGCTTTAGTTCATAAACCCTCTGAATATATATTTGTCTCTCTGCATCAGAGATGGGAACCCCAACGGCAACCCCCTCCATCCCTGATTATATGCTAGATCTTCACAATACATTTCAGCCCCTTACATCGTTGAATAAAGTTCAGTATTAAATCGCACAAGTCAAATCAAGTCAACTGGCGAATATTTAGATGAGGAAAAAAGGGGGAAACTGTGTCCCATTCTATGTACATGCCCCGGCCCCCCCACTCAGTGTTATTTAGGGTACGCATATGCGTGTTCCAACCGACCCCCCCCCCCCCTTTTCAGCAAAAGTCCGGTGTGTAAAGTCAATACGGCTCGACCTTTTTCTTTTGTATACGAGCCTTTTTCCGCACCCCCCCCCCCCCTTTTCAGCAAAAGTCCGGTGTGTAAAGTCAATACGGCTCGACCTTTTTCTTTTGTTACGAAAAGGACATTTTGGCAACACGCATGCGGTCATTTTGAAACCTGAGTGGAGGGGCCGGGGTACATGCATTTCACTAGTAGGAGTAATTCACAACTCACATAGTAAACAGAATCCCCCTTTTTTTGTCAAATACAGGATGTCTTGCTGGGGTTATCATTCATGTACCTTTCCAGTGGACTGAGTTTCTGTCGAATGAGAAGACCATCTTGCACCATGGACGGATTCAGCCTTCTGTATCTGCTCATGATTCTTCTGATGAGATCTGGTGATGTTGAAACCAACCCTGGACCAGACAGGTCAGTCTATATATATGTATTTGAAGCTTATTTCCTTTTCTTTATTGCAAAAGTAATAAGCATACCTGCCAACCACCCCGATTTAGGCGGAGTTCCTCCGCATTTTTCATACCAACTCCGAATTCCGATTGCATGCCTCAAAACTCAAAAATATTTTTAAAACAAACGACTGTTGCATAAGACTAAAGCATAACACAGCACTGATATTAAACCAGATCACGCCGACATCCGCGCTCGCGCTCATAGAAAATATACACAGCGCTATGGAAGGCCAACCCCGCCATATATGGAAGGCCATCGCCGCCATATATCGCAAACGAGCTTGCGTTACTGGTTAGTAGCTTACGGTAGTTAGTTGTAGTGCTTGCGTTACTGAGTAGTAGCTTGCGGTAGTTAGTTGTAGTGCTTGCGGTAGTTGATCGGCCAATTACTGTGCAGGATTATCGTTTACGTACACAAAACGGGAAATACAGTACCGCATGTTAAACATGTGTACGTATATTTAACTCTGGCGAATCAGAGCACTTGTTATAGCGGGCCGCCGGGTAGCCTTTTCGGCCGTGTCGCGAATTTTGTTATGCAAAGGTACTACGATCGGGGCGAGTATGTGTTAGTGTTACAGTATAGTTCGTGCTATTTAGTCCTTATAAGACTGGTCTGTATCTTTTAATCATACTTTATCACTTCTCAAATGGGAAAATTCTGGCATTTTACTCTCTGAAAAGTTTACAGTTTGAACACCAAAATAGGGAAACAGATGTGGCGCGGGACGGAGCTAGAATTGTATGGGGCATCTTAGCCCGACTTGGCCTGTCAATTATATATATATTTTTAATACGTCTTGTCGCAAGCAAGGAGGGGGTGGGAGGAGGGGCTCAGGCTGTTTTGCAATTTAGGGCGTGGACTGAAAGGGAACTAATAGGAATTGATTGCGAGTAGGTTTATTTTTAATATTTTTTGTTTTATTTAGGCCGCAGATCTCTGCAGATGAGCACATGGAATGCGCACGAACCAAGCGTAAGCGATGCGCGGATCCAGGGGAAAGGTGGGTCCAGGGGGCCTCCCCCCCCCCCAAAAAAATATATTAAAACAAATTTTTAACAATTTAAAAAAAAAAGGAGAGAGGGGGAGAAGGAAAAGAAGGGAAAGGGAAAGAAGAGAGAAAGGGAAAGAAAGAAGAGGAAGAAGAAAAGAAAAGGGGAAAAGAAGGAGATCGGGGGGGGGGGGGGCCGAAAGGACCTTGCCCATGCTGTTGCCTCCCCCCTCCCCCCCCCCCCCCCCCCAGCAAAAAACAGAGAGCAGGAAGGAAAGAGAAAGGAAAAAAAAGGAAAAGGAGATAAAGGGAAGGAAAAAAAGAGGAAGAAGAAAAAAAGAAGGGGGATATCGCCGACCAGTCGTGGATCGGGGGGGGGGGCAAAATGCCCTTGCCTCCCGCCCCCCCCCCCCACCTCAGCAAAAGAAAGAAAGAAAGAGAGAGAGAGAGAGAGAAAAAGAATGGATAGGAAGGGAAGGGGAAGGAGGAAAGATAGTGAAAGAAAATAAAAAGGAAGCAGACAAGAAAAGGGGGAAAAGAAGGGAAAATAAGTTGCGATTTGTATCGCTTCTTCTTTCGTCATTTAGACCAAGCGCCAAATACGCACCTGATCAACCCTGGCGTACTGCAAGGGGGGGGGGGGGGCTTGGAGCATTTGACCCCAACACAATTTCCAACGTGGTTTATTTCTAAATCAATACCAGTGATTTACAAATTTTGCTTAAATGACATAATTTTTCGGGATTTTTCCTCGCTTTTTAGTTCACTAAATTTGTGAATGCATTTGTTGGAAAATGACAAATTCAAAAATTTACAGTCAGGCAAGAAATATGCTTATTAAGAGGCCAATATGCCAGGATCCGCAGAACGGTGGGGCTCAGGGGACTTGACCTCCCTCCCCCTCTTTGTTTAAAAAGTATATTAAAGAGAAATAGAAAGAAAGACAGAAAGAAAGAAAAAAGAGTGACCTGCATGTGTCACAAATATGGTCAGCTGACCGTAATTAAATGCCTAAAAACCCCTGGTCCCCACCCAGGGCTCTAAGGCGGGCCTCTGGATGCTCATCAGACGGTAATTTAATTCCTTAAACTCCTGAGCTTCTGGGGTCTGCGTCCCCTGGACCTCACGCCAATTAGTGACATGTCAGTGTCATAAATAAGGTATCGAAATATGCTCATTTGACCGTAATTAAATGCCCGTGCCTGCATTTGTTTATGAATATAATGACTGTGATCTGTCCATAACATAAGATACCCTTTTGTAATTTGATGGTTTATTTTTGGTTCTGAAGTTTATAAATGAGAAATAAAGAATATTACGGACTAGCACAACCTCATGCTTTGGGATCTGAACCACCCATCTCATGATGCCATATTAGAAGAAACTGAATTAAACTCAAATGGGAAACTTCCATAGTTCTTACAAAGTCCGTGTTTATTGATTAATGAACCATTGCCCTTTAAGTTTACTAGTTTCATGTATGGAGATAAATATAAGAACATAAATAAATAAAATCATATGAGTTAGAGTACTAATAAGTAGGCCTATTAGACATTGTAACAGTGGCGATATAAATATTTTAAATAGTCGTCAATGAAAGTTGACCACTTCACTTTTCTCTTGAAACTTGAATATGGTCCAATAAACGCTTGTGTCTTTTTTAACTTACCGCCATCAGAGTCATATATTTTGAAGAAACAAACAGTAAAATTAATTGTAGGTGCCCCGCCCTTTTGCAAATAAAGTTAAGACCTAATTTCTTTGACTGCTCGGAAATTGTTGACATCAATTGGCATCTTACGAAAATCCTGACAGAGTTTATGACTTAGTAATGAAAAATTGTATAGAATTAAATTCCCTTGCTGAGAATGGGAACGATTCCGCCATAGAGGTCGGGGCCGCCATAGTATTGTTAAAAGTTGGTTAAAAACTAATTTCCTCTATTTGTGAAGTATGAATATTGTTAATAAATGATCAATTATCTGTTGATACACAATCAAATTGGTATAGCGTCATCTGCCACCAAATTTAATTCAATTTCAACTCAATTCGAATGATTTTTATTTCAAAACTCAATAAAAACAAGAAAGAATGCTTACATGAAATTAACATCTAATGACATTTAGAATATTCGAGAATTTTTTAAAAAAGGAATAGGAAAAAAAGAAAAAAAGGAGAAAAGAACACATGCACTGCTCGAAATGTTGAGCTTTCATATACATAATAAAAAAACACAGTCGAGGAGTACATGACTGTGCAGAGGTGGCGCTCCCGGGATAGGGGGGGGGGGCGGGGGGCACATCCCCCCCAAATTTTGAAGTACCCCAAATTGCCCCTTCCTACAGGAAAAGTGTCCCTTACCGTTGTAAGAAGTGCCCCTTTTTACATAGGAAAAGTACCCCTTTTAATTTGATAAGTGCCACTATTACTTTAAAAAGTGCACCTTCCCCTTTCCGACTCTGATAAGTACCCCTTTTATTTTGACACGTACCAATTTTCCTTCGACAAGTTCCCATGTTCCTTTGCAATAAGTTTCCATTTTTCATTCTCACAAGTGCCCTTTTTAATCTCTAGTAAGTGCCCCTTTTTTACTTTTGATAAGCGCCTCTTCACCTCTGATAATTACCCTATTCAAATCTGAGAGGTGCCCCTTTTTCTTTGACAAGTGCCCCTTTTGCCTTGTAAGAAGTGCCCCTTCCCAGTTTAATAACTAACCCTTTTTAACTCGGATAAGCGCACCTTATATTTTCCCATGCGCCCCCTTTCCTTTCTAATAAGTGCCCCTTTTCCTTATGATAAGTGCCCCCATTAAAAATATCCCCTTCCACTTCTCATAAATGCCCTTTTTCATCTCTTGTAAATGACCCTATATAATTCTGAGAGAAAATCGTTTTACTTTGACAAGTGCCCCTTCCTCTCCTGATAAATGCTCTTTTCATCTCTAATAAATTCCCCTTTTATTTGACACGTCCCCCTTTCCTCCCCAATAAATGCTCATTTTCCTTCTTATAAGTACCCCTTCCTCTTCTCATAATTACCCCCTTTTCATCTCTGACAAGTGCCCCGTTTATTTTAAGATGCGCCTCTTTTTCTTTTTAATGGGAGCCACTTCCCCCTTCTCACTTGTTATAAATGCCCCTTTAAAATCTGATGAGTGCCTTTTTTCCGTCGACAAATGCCCATTTCCCATTGTCATAAGTGCCCTTTTCATCCCTGGTTAGTGCCTCTTTTTTTAGGTGTAAGAAGCGCCCCATGTTCACCTCTGTTAATTAGCCTTTGCACTTTGACACGTGCTCCTTTTCTTTTCTAATAAGTGTATTATCCCTTTCGATAAGTGTTCCCTTTTCCTCTCATCATTAAACGTGCCTCAAGTGACTAAGAGAAATTTCACCCAAAGCACGCTCGCTACGCTCGCTCGCATGTAGTGTTACTAATCAAAGGTCTTTTCAGTCTTCCGTTATGAGAATGTGCTTATAACCCCATCAGGATATTTTGGGTTTTTCCTCTTTATAAGATGTAATTTTTCGCACTGCGACCTCACAAATCTTAAAATTTTTCCTCGCTCGCAAATGAATTTTCAGACCATCACACCCAACTGCAAAGTATGATGCTTTAGCTATATCTTATATGATGTATAATGAGAAACAAATATTGAAATCATCCCTGATAATGTAATCATATATGGGTATATACCAATATCTAAAACTTGTCTATTTTTGCTTTAAAATTCTCTTTGAAGGTGCCCTTTTTTCTCCCGAAAGTGCCCTTTTTTGTTGGTGCCCCCCCCCCCACTTTGGAAGTCGCTCCGCCGCCTCTGTGACTGTGTACATGTCACATGTGTTAATGCTCCAACACTCAAGTGCGGTCGAAGATTCCATAAATTAATACATTTAGTAGTTGCATATTTTCATAGGCTGTTAAGTAGAACATTGAACACGATGACGATAGTCAAGACTCAAGACGAGGT